CTTAGATTACTGCAAAGCTCTTTATAAATGAGAGAAAAAAAAAAAGAAGCTTTGCGGCACAACAGCAAAAAGGAAATACTTTGGAGATAGGGTCTAGTATGCATACTATACTGAGCCATGACATCAGTGTAATTATTTTTCCCTAAGGTAAATGTCTTATGTTACAAATTCTTCCCTTGCCAGAGGCCTCAGGCCCCACAGATGTTCAGATAGCAAAGCACTTGAGTTCTCAACACCCAAGGGATCTATGGGAGCTCTATTCCTATACCATACCTACAGCCCAATCAATTTCTGGTTTTCTCATTCTGTATTTGTTGTCCCCTTTCAAATGTCAGAGGCACTTCCCCCTTGTGTTTCTCAAAATAGTCGATGCAGCTTTGAAAGGCAAGGTGTGCCCTTGCAGCAGACCTTTTGCCGGTTTCTACTCCTGCTGTAGTCAAGTTTCTATCCTGTGCTGGGGCCAAATTTCCAAAACATGTCGATTAAGCAAACAATTCCCGCTGAGAAAAATACCTGACATTGATCTTCAGCCCTACAGTAAGATCCGGTAAAGGAAGGTTCAAATAAGCAGAGATTCTTTTGGGATCTCCTGATTAGAAATCCCTTTCTGAAGAGTTCATATGGTACTGCCTGATAAGAGATTTTAGATGTTCCATGACCCCTTCCCCCATTTTTTTTACAAATAAAACTCCTTAAGATCAAACACATGGTAATGCATATTAGTTATGGTATTTATTACATAGGAAATAAGCTAAATTAAGGGTGATCATACTACCTCAACAAGTTACCCAGCATTTGCTCTATAATAATAGATGAAAACAAATGATATAAAGACATTAGAGTTAATATTTTAAGTCACAAATGACCGTTGAATATATATATTTTAAGCACAACCCCTTTTAAAAAAGGTTGCTACTCATTTGCAACATGAGAGTGGGATTGTCCACATGAAAAAGCTGTTAAGTATAAATACCACTATTTTATACGTGAGTGAATTGTGAAATCAATTTTAAAGGAAAACTTAGAATCTGCTACCTATGTTGTTTACTATTAAGCCACACAGAGTAATGGCAATAAGTGGTCATGTCTGGTTTTGCTTACTAAAATTAATTACTATTAAGGTTACGTAAATAAGGGTCATGCTTACAATATGGTCTATTTTAAATGAAATAGTTAACAATACCAGTTAAGGCATTCCCATGTATTTCTCTATATTTACTATAGGAAATAATACATATATTGGCGTAATGAAATGGCAGCATGTCTTAAAAATAACTGCAGCATATGCTTCTGTATTATAGAAAAAGTATAATACCTCAATAATATAATAATACTTCTGTATATAGTATCAGAGATATGCCAGAGTACATTTGGAAACACACAGATTGAAAGTAGAGCCCACTTCTAAGGAGCGCTTACATGAAAATAGCATCTTTCTATAAAAATCCAGTATTCACGTGCAAGAATTGCTCCTCTTAGTGTTAGTCAAAATACAAAGTGGATCGTGTTGTGCAGTTGTTTCAGATTTTTAAAAGTGTAAATATATAACAACAGAAATTACAATGCAAAAAGAAATGTTAAAAATATACTTCAGTTGAGAACACTTACTGGTGTAAAATACTTTTTGAACTGACATAATGTACCTAACCAACCATTTAAAAATGAAGAGTAAAGAAACACTTTAAGTTTAATGCATACAATTAATCTTTACTTGGCTTTGTACTGACTTAAGTTAATATAATTCTGATTAAATTATTTTCATGCTTGTGGTCCTAAACTAGACCAAATTGGTTTTTAAAGGAATGTTTTTCCTTTCACAGAACTCCTTAGCTGAAGCTTATGATCTGGCCCAAGGAAACTCAGTTTTGAAACAAGTGTAGTATTGGTGCAAAACATGCAGTTACTGCGAGTAGAAGATAGGAGCGTTCAAGCTAAAGAGCTGCGTAGGCAGACATTGGAAGTGTGAGCTTCCAGGTTTAGTTACGATAGAGATTGCACATTGTCCCCAGTCCACAGTATGTTTAGGTAATTATCACTCATTTCAGCCAACCATCGTTCTTTGTCTTCAGCAGACATCCCAATGGAATACAAAAATTTGTCTCATTCTTCTCGACCTTCCTTATACAAGTGACAAATGTTAATGGTTATTCCATCAAATTGTGTAGTGCAGAATCTCATACAAGCTACTATGTCATCTACAGTTTGTTGGTGCTGATTTCATCTAAGGGGAAACTTAAAAAGAAAAGGATGTCAAGAAGTTATTAAGCTGCCAAGAGAAAGATATAGATATTTGACACATGGTATCTACAAGACAAGACTGTAAAGCCTGGGATGCTGGTTTCACAGTAGACGTCAAAAGTCTGTTGATAAAAAATAAAAGTGAGGATTATTCTATAGGGAAAATCTGAAATTTTGAAACTTGGTACATAATTACTCAGTTTGACAGTACCAGAATGACTGCTCGTAAGGCATTTTGCTGGATATCTCTCAATTTACCCCACAACATGAGAGACACAACACTACAGAAAACTATATGCTTTCTGGCACCGCAGAGATCATTTCAAAAGCTATGGCAGTTGTAGCAGTGTTTTAATTGGAAACAACAGGTTTGCCAGTTAGTGATAAAGCTGAAAGCACACATGAACAACTGCTTTCCAAAACCAGAAAAAATAAGTATAGAAAAACTCAGCTGGATTTCTAGTTGACCATAAGCCAACTAATGGCTTGATGCTGCACTGATTTCAGTCTCTTAGAGGGATATTTCCGAAGTTTTTATTAAGTGCAAGAGTAAATAGACTTTTTAGAACATAGTGTGTCTGGCTCACTTTGAAAAACAGAAAGCAGCGTGACTTTTCAGGAAGCAATAGATACATTCTACAGACAAAGAAAGTAATATATTGCAGTCTAATAGAATCATGCAAGACAGCAATTAGTAGAAGTATTGGCCTGATCCTATGAGCACGACTTGCTGTACTTACTACCTTGCAGGTCCCGTGTTTCATTCGTCAAATTCTTGCTTCACGTGTACTTCTTTAAAAGCTCTTAATTTAATTTTCACCTGTTTATGCTTTCAACAACTTCACTTTCACACTGAGACAGCTCCCATAACACCAAGTGCTAAATAAAATCTTCAGCTCAGTAACAGAAAGATCTTTTCTTACTAAAACTTTCAATAACTCACCTTGAATGGCAGGTCTAGTGTGACTCATTGACATTCCTGGGCCCGTAAATGAGTTGAACTCATCTCTCAGGAGAAGAAATAGGACTGCCTTTGTCTGGGCACAACAGATAGAATCATTCATCAAGAATCTTTGAAATATGCCTTACTGTTCCCAAAGCAACTGATTTGCCTGCCTTTGCTTCAGACTTTATCAGAGTAACTTGGTCAAAACTCTTAGGAACTCATACAATAATATCTACAATCAGTTCAGATTCAGCTGCAGAATTATTTTTGGCTCATAAAGGAGAAAGAGCTAGATTAACCAGTCCCTTCATCCACGATGACTGCAACTGATTTGGCAGCTCTAACTAGACTCAAAACTAACCTCTCTGATAACCCCCTGAAACTAAATTTTTCTAGCAAACAAACTAGCAAATTTTGGCTGCCTCTAAATTAGCAGGATCCAGATTTCATTGTACAAATCTCTTTGTATGGAAATCTCTTGACCTATTTACATCTCCATTTCTGACTCAGGTTTCTCTTTGGTGGTTGTGATTAAAAAGGAAGTAAGGCAATCATGTTGAATTAAAATAAATTAAAGCTGTGCACTTTCCCAATTAGGCCTTTTGTGGGATGTCTTTCAACGGGAAGACAGGCCCATCCATCACTCTGAATTGCAAATACATTTTAAAAGTTTCATTCTCCCTTATAATTTAAAATTTCATAATTAGTTATCATAGGTGTGGTTAGAGTTGCAAAACATTGCCTCCTTATGGGTGCAGAGCTGGAGCACTTGAACCTACAACAGAGTCACTAGGTTTGAAAGGCTGGCAAACCCTGAGTTAAACTCCAAAACAACTATCAGCTTGTGAATAATCACATATATGAATTGAATTTGAATTGTTAATTATGTAGTCTGTTTATTTCTATGCCTCAGCTTCTCTCTCCTGTATTACCTCAAGAGCAACAAACAAGTCTAAGTTTTATTCTTCATTTATACAAATACAATTTTAGGCACAGTAATATTACGTACATTTTTAGAAGCCAAAGAGAAAATTGCCTTCTATTTAAGTGCACGGAGTATTTGCATTGTCACAGTACATTACATGGATTTGATGCTTAACATATAACTGTACTAATCTTTGTGGCAAACATAATAACAAAAGAAAGTTTTTGGAGATTTTTCTATTTTTATTTTAAAAAATAACAAAAACTTTCCACTGAAGGACCACATGTAAAACTATGGTTTCTCTGCACAGAGACCAAGGCTGCTTATTACCTACAGTGTACTAGCTATGATGAACAGACCACCATAGTTGTGACAACTGATGTTGCTGCCTCCAGGGTAAAACAAAGGTTTACATATTACACAAGCAATTTAACTGTTTTCTAAACATATTGCCAAGGCAGTGGGAGTTGGCAGCCAGCACTGTGTTTTAGGTTTTGGATACTTGGATTAGAAGTGACTGCTGATTATAGACCTTTTTATTTGTCTTCTATGAATTACAAGCAACCTAGTAACCCAGCAAAGAATCCTTCAGAGCACTTAAACTTGTCTTCCTGGCTTCCCAAAGATTACATACACAAATCACTCCACAAAAGTGGCGTAAGAGACTTGTGCATAGATAACTACATAAGACAATTGTCTTGTTCTAACTCTTAAAGAGTTCCCCAAAGTGAAATGTTTTATAATCCTTTTTGTGCAGTAGTCAGGAAAGAAATAAAAGAGTTTGGGCAAAGATTATCCACAAGAAAGAAACTTTTTTGGGGGGTTCCAGCTGAAACACAATAAAGAACATAATTAACTTCACAATTCTTTGTGTTTTTCATTTGACTGCAGGGAGGAGATGAAAGAGGACTGTTAAGCCTTGCATTCCATCCCAATTACAAGAAAAATGGAAAGCTGTATGTGTCTTATACCACCAACCAAGAACGGTGGGCTATTGGACCTCATGACCACATCCTTAGGGTTGTAGAATACACAGTATCCAGGTATCAGTAGAAGTCTAAAATTCACAAATTCTGTATTTCTCAGCAACCTTTTCATTTTAGTATTTCCCATTTCTAAAATGAACTATCAGATTTACAGTGTGTATACTCAGGCACTTGCAGAAAAATTATTGCTAATTTTATTTCAAACAGTAGTTTTGGACACCAGTAAGTACACTGGTTTATTCTTTTTAAGACTGTTTTAGTTATTCTGTCATTTTTTAATTGTAGTTATTTCCTACTTATTGTTTATAGGCAGCAAAATATTTTTTGTGAATGCTGGAAAATTGAAATTTCTCAGAAATTATTGTTTGACATTTTTCCACCAAGATACAACATCCACATCTTAAAGTTTAATTTGAATGACTCAAGTTTATTTTTAGAAAGAAGAACAATAATAGTGAACTGTGAAAACGGTGTTCATATCTTTATATTGCAGGAAAAATCCACACCAAGTTGATATGAGAACAGCAAGAGTGTTTTTAGAAGTGGCAGAACTACATCGAAAACACCTAGGAGGACAGCTTCTGTTTGGCCCAGATGGTTTCCTATACATTTTTCTTGGAGATGGCATGATCACTTTAGATGATATGGAGGAGATGGATGGTTTAAGGTACAAAAACTACCAATGGATAGGCTTCTATTACTGTCTTCTCGTTTTGCACAGTATTTGGGGTCAGAATCTAAGTGATCAGCAGTTGTCAGGACAAATCTTACTGCCCCTTCCTCTACTACATAATTCCACTATTTTCAGTTCCTGGGTTTAGCAAACTGCTGATTTTCAGAACAGTCTTAAATACATCTTCTTAAATACAGCTTAAATACATCTTCTTGTAGTTGTGTGCTATCAAACCATTTAAATATTGGAGCCCTCACCAGTAGATGCAATGGTATTTAAGCGGAGGTTAGACTTCTTTTTTCCAAACTATTATTCTATGAACAAGACAACTTTATTGAGCAAACATTCTAAAAAGTGTCTACAAACACATACCAGAGTCAATAACAACACTGTATCACTTAGGAAAATGTCTAGAGTACCTATGAAGCAATCCTATTGGTTCTACCTATACAATTTTCTCAACCTGCTTTTTCCCTGTGTTTCATTATGCTCTGTTGGAGTTGCAACATTTGCCTTCAGTTAGAGAAGGTGTGGTACTGAGCCTTTACAGACCTAAAAGGGGTTGCTATGCTCAAAGGCCTCTTTGGCTCAGCAGAATAGCAGGTGCTCTTGCCCTTTGCAGTGAGGATATACTTAAAACCAAGACCAGAGAGCAATTCTAATAATTGATTTTAAATTAAATCTAAAACAAGGGGAGACTGAAACAGATTCATGATGAAGAAAGACAGAAAGGAGTTAATTGAAATATCACATCCATTCATGTTTGTAAAAAGAGTTTTGATGCTCTTCCACTCCTTCTACATTCTTGTCCTCCCTTCCTCCATCACAATCATGAATGTAAGGCAAAACATTTTACTCTGTCCTGTTTCACGTAACAAGAAAGTTCTGATTCTTTACCAAAAATACCAACAACTCCATTCAACCAATACAATTACTGCCTTTTTTTTTTTTTTAATTAATGTATAATTAAACTTTGGATTGTGCTGTGACTAGAAATCATTGAATTCAAGAGTAGGATTCAAAGTGTTAGCAAAAAACATTATGTAACTACATAGTGATTATATCCATAATCAGTTACTCTATAGGAGATACAGTATAAAAGAGTTAATAGCTTTATGTTTGAAGCCATAAAACAATGTTGATGTATGGAAAGTTGCTCTTACTATCAAGTGGCTTCCCAACAGCACGGTCAGAGGCGTTCTGGTATGCACATAACAAGGCAACATACTGGCCAAACTGAATCTTTGATAGGTTCTGCTACTATTCTTTGGACTGGCATGTACCATAAAACCAATCTAGATGTGATTATTCAGTAAAGTGGGTGGTGTATTTTGCTGATTCACTCTAGTATTATATGGATTAAATCTACCAGTAAAATACTCTTAAAAAACAATTATTTTATCCTCCAACTTTCTCAGTGATTTTACAGGTTCTGTATTGCGCCTCGACGTAAATACTGACCTGTGCAATGTCCCTTATTCCATACCACGGAGCAACCCACATTTTAATAGCACAAACCAACCTCCTGAGATTTTTGCACATGGACTCCACAACCCAGGCCGGTAAGTAAGTTACAATTAAACTGAATTACTCTGGAGCAGATACTGTTTTCAACCAGAAATCTTTTATACAGTCGGGTAACAAAATTTTAATAATAAAGGCACTCGTGAACTTTTTAAAACTTCCACTCCTCCACCTCCACACATATGTCACAGTTAGAAACAAATGTACATTGGCAAAGGGGAAGGAGAAGAGAATGCACAACTATTACAAGTCAAGACTAAAATGACAGAAATGAAGCACAGGATTTTTGTTTTTAATGAATAATAAAATTATTACCTCTATGAAAGAAGAGAACTTAAAGCAGAGAATTGGTCAAGTACAACTGAGATGGGAATCTGAGAAATTAGAGCAGTAGAATCTTGATTGAGAAAAAAAGGCACGTGAAAAACAAATAAGAACATCTGGTGAAATCTAAACAATAACAAGGAGGAGGACAACGCTTTAACTAAACAACACATAATTCAGCAAATTAGGTGGGTGGTAGTACTGAAGTGACATTTAAAGTCATGGTTTGAAAAAATTCAGAAAGTCAAGTTGTTCAGATAAGGAGTTGATTCTTGGACTTTTTAACAGTCCAGAATTCCTACACCATATAAGTCAACTCCTTTAGCTTGGTTAAAGCTCTATTCATTTCAGATGCTATTGAGCAAAGTACATTTTATCACTAGGAAAAAATAGTTTTACTTCACATTATATAAAAAATGGTGCAGGGATGGGAAAGGTATATTATGTCTTGTGTACAAATCTGACGCACTTCTCAGATATTTTGGCTCAGTATGAAATAGGTCCCTCGAATGAGTAGGCACCACAAAGAAATAATAATCCTTCAAAATGTGATGCTTCATACTATTGATAGAGAACTACACATTATGAGTTCATCTATCTCATGGATTTTCTTATATTTTTTGTTTTACAGATGTGCTGTGGACCGCCACCCAACAGATGTAAACATCAATTTAACTATACTTTGCTCAGATTCAAATGGAAAGAACAGATCTTCAGCAAGAATCTTACAAATAATAAAGGGTAAAGACTATGGTAAGTTCCAGCCAGGGTAAAGCTACTGGGAACAGTCGGTTTTTATGCCCGTGGAATAATAAATAGAAAGCAGAAAAAAATAGAGAAAGGACTGTATAGCCATGATAAGTACCTTACTGCGTAGACAGGATAGGTAACATACAAAAGATAGAACTTATGAAAAGTATGGTACAAACAGATAAAAGATGCAAGACAAAACAAAATTTAAATGACTCAACTTTGTTCTTGTTGGTGTAGAATATCATGTAAATAAGATTTAAGAAATATGCCAGTTGCTAGTCTGTCAAAGATCTCAGTGTTGCTGCATATGATGGCTCATAAAGAAAAGATTTTGGAATATCAGGAAGTGATGAAAATGTTTTCTTAGCCATTCACAAATAACTTTTTAAGATACAGCATGGAAACCTCATGTGATGTGCCTCCTATAATGGAAAAAGTGAGACAGACAACAACAGACCACAACCAAACAGGGAAATGACTGAGCTCTGTTTAAATGTTACTAAAAATGAAAAACTTAGAAAAATGCACTATGCTACTACTACATAATAAACGACTAGTTTAGACTAGAATGCAAAAAGATAAACATACTCAATTAGTAATTTAAAGTGTTTCATGTGCTCTCTGGATCAGTATGATTATCAGTCACCATTTTAGTTTAATGTTTAACTCTGATACTCACTAAGATCGCTTGCTAGTTCAGGCAAGCCAGGCGACAGTTACTCTGGGCTATCATCTACCTTGGTTGACCATTTAGCAGCTTGTAAATTCATGGTGGCAAAAGGCGATAAATGCCAAAGGTGTGTAAAGGCATCAAGAACTGGTCTATCTCCTGGAACGTTGCATTTTCTGATTTTACTCACATCCCTAGTTCTCCCACCTGTACTGTACTTAAAAGCAAAGCAGCTGTGGGGGCTAGTACAATAGTACACAATGGTGTCATGCAATGGTTCTACTTCAGTTATTGCATGTATTTTCTGTGTTCATTTTATAAAAGCCAAACCAAAGAATAATATTTGGTAAACCACTGCTCCAATGGAATTTTGACTGCATCCTTATTGCAGAGTAAACTAAGCAATATTGTGTCTATCCCGAACAGCTTGCCAATATTAATACTAGGCTGTGGGTCAATTGCTTCAATAAAAAGAGCTCATCGTCCTTTTCTCCCACATAAAATTTCAGCTCTTACTCTTGCAAAATAATCTGGGAAATTCATTTATCAAAGACTTGCAGATAGCCCTCTGACCAAAAAAAAAAAAAAAGTTCCTATAAAACAAAAAGGTCTATTGGCTGTGGCTTTAACTGAAAATTATGCAGTTAGCATGTCAAGTTGAGCCTACTTTTACCCTAAGCAGTATTTGATTGCATGAATAGGAACATCTACACTGAAACTTCCTTGAAGGCATTATTTGATATGACTAAACTCTGCAGTTTTGTAAAAAAGGAAAAGAGTATGTGTAGGAACTGCAACTACAACAGCAGCATAAAATAAATTACCACAAGAAGGTACGGCCAGCAATATTAGTGTTTTATGGGACGTAACACACATACCGTGTTTAAAACTGTGATTTTGAAAGTGTTTCTCAAACCACTGAATGGCTTTGAAAACAAGTTCTGCTGAAAATCACTGGAATTTCTGCTTCTAGATACTGGAAGGACTTTACAGTGAAGGGGGTTGACTTGTATTCCGGAAGTTCAAGAGATCCATAGTGTGGATCTTTTAAGAGACACTTAAAAGTTAATAGCAGTAATCACATCGGCTTCAATGGAAGTCCACCCTAATCCCTATATAGTGTTATTCTCCCAGCCTGTGCCTTTGTTGTAACTTTCTGATTTTTGTAACATTTCATTTCCGGCAACACATCTTGAATTTTGAGGAATGTTTAAACGGAATTAACCTCTTTTCTTGAAGTAGTAACATTTTCATGAATGTGAATCAAAATATGAAACTGCATATGATCTAATGCTACGGTAGTTCCTTTTTAGAAAGTGAGCCTTCACTTTTAGAATTCAAACCATTCAGCAGTGGATCCTTGGTTGGTGGATTTGTCTATCGAGGCTGCCAGTCTGAAAGACTCTATGGAAGTTATGTATTTGGAGACCGCAACGGGTAGGTTTCTTATAACTCACTCTTAAACAAAAATGCATATAAAGTATATTTAGTTATTGAGCTTCCTGTATAAAGGAACACCAACAGTCTTGTATATTGTGTCACTTTGCCAATTTAGCGGTGTGACAATGCAGATGAAATTCTAGATTTGGAAATAAAATAGCACAGCATTCTAACGAATGGTGATGTATGTAACATATCTGATCCTTGGAAAAAAGTACAAAGACTCACATCACGGCACTCTTAAGATTTTAGTTCTACAAACACTTACATGCATCATTTACATTATGATGGGAATAAATGTTAATCGTGGAACTGTTTCCCAAATAGGTCTAACTGGTCAGATATTGACAACTTTTGGGGTTTTACGGAAACATCACTGATGGAGCAAAATGAATGTTTTTTTAATGAATGGGCATAGTTTTCCCATGCCAAATAGCTCAGTATTCACCAATGGCTATATAGTACAGCTTGAACCCAATTTTGCAATGTTTGAATGACAGGAAGGGAAATGCTGTGCTTTTTAAGCATCTGAAAAAAAAACAGGCAGGAAATCATAAGATGATGAACCACACAGATGTATCCATGGAGCTACTTGCAGCAAGTGTTTACTTATTTATCTGGATAGTGAAAACTCTCTGTTCAAAATGTAATATAACAATTTGCTTTATGTGTTTTTGAATATAGAAATTTTTTAACACTGCAACAGAGTCCTGCAACCAAACAGTGGCAAGAGAAACCCCTCTGTCTTGGCAACACTGGTTCATGTAGAGGTTTCTTTTCAGGCCCTGTCTTGGGATTTGGTGAAGACGAATTAGGTAAATAGAAAAAAAATATATGTTATTAAA